CCTGGATGTCAGTGTGAAATTGGTTGCTTCTGAGACAAAATCACTAAGAAAAGGTAATTGATTTTATAGTGATTCTTAATTGGTGTTAATATGTGCACTGCATTTGGATGGGACACGGTACGAGCCCAGACGTTCTGAAAACCAAGGGACTCATTGCAGGTACGCTAATATGCCCAAGCAAAACTGCCCTAATGGGGCAGCCAGTAGGTACCATCTACTGTCAAAAATCTCCATAAGGGAGTTCGTTCCAAAGCAGCAAGGAGAGGCCAGTCCAAATGGCCCTACTACATTACCCCAGCATGTGTCATTCCCCAACCAAAAGTGACCTTGCTGGGGAACAGAATGGTAAATTAGAATTGCGTTTCCTTCCAAGCTCCACTGTGGCCCCGAGAAGCACCTTAAAACAGCTGAAAAAAATCATCCAACACTAGGAAAACTGATCATTTAAAGATGAGCATCTAAATAATTATTTTGATATGTGAACATGCAGCAAGATTTGCAGAGTTGCTGAATTCCCCTGACTCTCTTTAATCCTACAAGAACTAAAAGTGCTCAGAACTTATGGGGGGGAAAAAAAAAAATCAAGCTGCTTTTATGTGTCTACCTATATCTGCCTTTAAGTATGTCGTTTTCAGGAACAATTTTAATTAAACTTTAACTAATCCAGGACACAGACATGCATGCGCTTACACGCGGCGCCCCAAAGTCATGTTGAGACACACAAATTCACAATTTACACTTCAAAGCCCACAAACATATTCTGTTGATGAGTCTATCAAAGAGTTTAGTTTTTGTTATGTATAAAGAAAGAGAAAGGGTGGAGAATCAGTTCACTTCATACAAATGCCAAATTCTTGTGCCGCCCTAAGATAAATGTTAATTCTCCGGGACTGTACAAAGAGCAAGTTAAGAAAAGGTTATGCTCTGCTGATTAACATTCCCAAATTTCTCACATGTTCAATAAGAGAAAAATCTTTCCATTCGCGGTAACTAATTACAGACACTAAAGTCCCCAAAGAAAAGAGCAATAGCCCGTAACAGCTAAAGCAGGAGGACAAAGCCATTCATCGATTTACACTTTACCCTCTCTTGTCAACACTCTGGTCTCCGACCGCACCAGCGCTGCGTGCGCGCACAGGAGTGGGACTCTGCACCACGCTGGATGAAACCACAGCCCCTGCCAGGCCTCCACCAGGGCTGCACCCCTTCGCTTTCAGCCATCCTCTTCGCCAACGTAGAACTTTCATTTTGTTGACGACTCATGCCAGTACTAGTTACACCGGTTACCAACCTGATGCAGTAGGTCACAACAGGCTGCACCACGCGCCGTGCTGTGACGGCCACTACGTCGCCGACGCAGCAGTGCAGCCGCAGAGCCGCTCTGCGCCTTTCTTCCTGTGGAATTAGTGGAACCGACAATTACACCTGGATTTATTAGTCATCCTGATTATATCGATATAAAATGCAGTTCTGGAACGTGCAGACCCGTAAGTTTCTGACTTAAAATGCTGCCTCCAAGGCCATAGCGTTAGAGGCAGCACGTGGACACTCAGAAGGGAATTCTGCCCCCACCTTACACAGCCTATTCTCATGCAGAAAAAGGAAAAGAATGAAAGTGACATGTTAAAAACTCACAGTAAATAAGATTTGTAGAAATTATCCCATGATCACGTAAATTCAATACGAAAAGCAGCTGCTATTTATTTTCCACGGGCAAACGGAAATACCAGTATTCACCACATGGCAGTCAACAAAAAACCAAACCACTGTTTCCCTGATGAAATTGTTCACATTTTGCTATCCAATGTTTCAGGAAGAAAATGATTTTCATTTTGGCCTCCCACTGCCTCTGCAACATCAGAGAATGTCTCTCCCGGTTGGAAAAACAATAGGAGGCAAAGAGGAAAGCAGTTTTTTTTCCTGAGACTTTGGGCTAGAAAACGCCATCAATTTCAAAATTACAACAGTGGCAAAGTGCTTCTTTCAATCTGGTCCTTTAATTTTTGCCTCCTGCTGCCGTTCCTATTGTCAAAGTGGCAGCAGGAGGCAGAAATGAAAAGACTACTGCTGGCAATCATCCTTGGGCAAAGCATTAGGAAGAAGTGAAACACCCCTGGGCCATAATGAATTCCAGAGGTAACAAACTGGAGTTTGCACATCTCTCGTGTGTGTAGTTCCACGGACCATCAGCCCATCAGGATAACCATTCTGTTTCTGGAACTACGTTGACCAGGCATCAAGGTGCCAAAGTGTTTGGGCTGGTATTCAGGAAACGAAGAATGAAACAGAATATTGTTAGAAAACTAATAAAATACAACAAAATCAAACTGACAAAACTCACCAGAGAACTCTACTCCAAGTAAGAGGAAAGGAAATTACTCAACTGGGAAAAGTCGCATCAATTTTTCAAGACATTGGGCAAATGGGATGAGTTGTAAGGGCACAAGGACCCAACTGCTTGCCAAGCTAACCTAGAATGTTTGAATCTGAAGAGCCTGTTGGTATGTGAGGGGAGACAGAAGAAAAGACCAAGGCCGAGGATTTAGTGCTACCAAAATTGTTACAAATTTTAACAGATTTGCTGAGGCCCCGGCAGACCAGTCCAGTATTTCAGAGCTGTTCACCTGAAGAACAACAGGAAGATATAGCACAACCACACAGAAACTGCTAACAACCCTCCTTCCAAACACCCTGCGAGCCACAGAGAAGCTCTTGAAAAGGCTGACTGTAACTCACAGCCAAATAATCACCTCCGTCTCCTGCCCTTCGGTGAAGTTTCCAACGAACCTGGGTTGCTCAAATGCAAATCAGTGTCCTCCAAACATGACTTATTTAAAAATGATGCCTTCATCACCTGAAAGGAGAAGCTCAGTGCCCAAGTGAGCAGTGCCTGAAGGTGTTTACAGCCCCGAAGGCTGTCTCTGGTAGCCGCAAGGATGACCCAGTTGTATCCTTTCTGGAAGAAGAATGGGTGTTAAAGGGATGGCTTAAATTAGTTCTAGAAAGTTTTAGGCTGCTGGAGTAAATCAAGATAGAGCGTAGCAGCTGTGTCTCAGTCTGTCCCTCCTTAAGACTTGAAAAAGGACATATTATTTGCCAAGATTATACATGTGTTCTTACTACCTTTGTGATAACAAGAGTTCATTACAAGAAAACAAAATCATACTCCTCTGGAAACCTTGGGAAAAAAGTGTGAACAAAGTTCACTTCATCTACAGAAGTTCTTTAAAAACAGAGAAAACAACTGGGAACCGAGTGAAGAAGCTAATGAAATTGAATATGGTATTTTTCGTTGCATGAATTAAATGAGAGGAGCGTTTTCTTCACTATCACTGAGCCAAGATAAAGTTACCTTTCTCCCATTAAAAATAAAAACCAGTGGTACTTACAAATAAAAGCACTACTATTTCTTGCACTGAACTTGAACAACAAAAATTTATGAAGCTTGAAAACTATACTCTGTGCAAAGTGCACCTAAACTGTTCTATCATCCTTGTTTCTTAAAATAATAGAGGAAGATTATTTAAAAAAAAACCCACAGATGCACTCAAAAGGAAGAGAATACTGTTTTATTCCTAGGTCAGCGTTCTTCATTGACTTAACCTATATAAAATCCTTGTTGTATTAACTTTAAGGACGTGCAGATAAAAATCAGCCTGCTGAAATCAACACAAGCATAAAGAACAGTCTCAGGGGAAAAAAACAGATTCTATTTATATCATTAAAATATTACCAGACTTTTAAAACATTCTTATTCCTCTTGCTTATCTTCTGAACAGCTTAAGACCTGTCTACTTAGTGTAGTACTCTAGTTATTTGGTGGCTGGTACCATCAAGCTTTTCTGGCTCTTTCTACCTCTAACAGTATTTTGCGAGACCACATTGAAAACATTTATCAAACGATGCACGAGTCCTCCTTTGGACATAACTTGCCTCTAACTTACTCATGTACAAACAAAACTGACTGTGTCTAATCTCCATGGAAAAAAAACAACCCAACAATCTAATAATTTAATGTCTGTATGCAGCTTAGTGTATTATAACATAGGGCACTGCTATGCCAGGTTAGTATGCTATTAGCTGGCAGATTCCCAAGCATCTGTCATGCAAAGTAGGTCAAGTTCTAGCCATATAATTCTGATTATGTCAAAATATTTATTCATGAGTTTCCTAATTCAACATACTTCAAATAAGTCATATTTATGTAAAAAAAAAAAAAATCATCTAAATTATGGTTCCTAACAACTGGGTTATTGCAGCTTCAAACACTCTGGTAATCCAGAGACGTGGATAATGTTTTTCGCTTACAATGTATTGTGTAGTAACAGAATTGTTATTATTTTCTATTTGCCATTATTTTTACTCTGGTTTCCCAAGGAAACAAGAGTAACACAGCCACACACTCCATGGCTGTATGTGGGAATGTGCAAAGCAACGGAAACCCCCATCCTCCTTTCTCATGCTTGTTCTTCCCTATATTAACACTTGAACCTTCAGGCCAATTTCAGTCAGGTCTCATCTGCATTATGAACTTTTCACTTTACCAGTCAGGGGGAAATAGGCAGCTGAACAGATGAGAGACACCCTATAAATGGATTTGCTGAAGAAAGGCCACGCTGTGAGCTTGTTTCCTTAGAGCTTAGATCAACATCAAGACCCAACAAACCATGTTTCCGCACTTCCTCAACTCAAAGAAGTCTTTCCATCACAATTAGAAGACTACCAGGAGGAAAGGGGAGTATACAATGACTTACATCGTCCACATGCTCAACGAGATCTAGGCCCTCCCAGTGGGAGATTAGGAATGACTCCAAGCTGCAGGTAGCACTTGAAATAACAGGGAGATGGAAAAGTTCATCACCCAGCCAAGGCCGTCTGTGACTAGGTGATCATATAAACACAAGAACAAATAGCATCTCCATGGTTTTCAGTACTGTTGCAGGCAAAGAAGATCACCATCTTCTTCATTCTACTGTACCCTGCTGCAGCATTCAGCTTACCTGTGGATTTCCCCTTGCTTTCACCAGTACTTGCTTTTATCAGCACCCACATGATGGATACCACTTTTTACCAACCGTACCCCTATTAAATATCCTGAAAGCTTTTGGCTTGGCAGAAGTAAAATCTTTTAACTTACCTCCCCAAGTAAGTGCTGCATAAGCCTGTATTTAGTCTTCTAATATACTGCCAGGAGGTGTAACTGAAAAAATGTATAGTACTATCATTCCTAAGGCAAAAAACGATGAGCCTAATTCTTCGCTTTACTATGTTTTCTTTTGTGCCATTCTAGCACCATACTGGTAAGTCAAAATGAGGAGACACTCCTCAGAGCAGTGCCCACAGCAAGACTGAAAAAGCACAAAGGCTGCGTGCAGGTTCTCCTCCTAGGTCCTATGGAATAGCTTATACGTGTCTGTAATCTATAGGATTCTTTGCTTCCAGGACAGAGAGGAATGAATAGCTTTACCTTTCCTCAGTTAAGAAGTAGTCCCTGAACAACAGAGGAGAACACTCAAGACTTAAGACATTTTGATGGTCTTTCACCTTTGCGTATCGACAAACCTTCAGTTTGTCTTTAACAATCAAGAAAGGCTGCACCTGAAAACAAATCATTAGAGGATGAGACTCGAAGTCATCAACCATGCAGTTACACAAAAATGTGTGTTTCTGGCCAGCATTTTAAGAAGTTGTGTCCCACCCTTAGGCGTTCAGTCCTCTGACACCTGCAGGAGCTGTACCAAGACCTGAGCACTTTACAGCCAGTACTCCCGTATTTGCTCAAGGCACCACGTATGCTCACAGCTACGTTCTGTCAATGACCTTTTTAATCAAAGAAAATAAAAGGAAGGCATTAACACTTTTAAATGCTTTCGGTTACCAGTGTCCTAATATTAATTTTCTAAACATTCTTCTACAGGGGTGATCACACCGTGATTTGTGTTCCCGTTGTCTGGCTGCTTCTCATGCTAGGATTTAAATGCTATGTTTTGTTTCATCTGGAACAGTTTTCTCTCAGACCTCTCTGGTGGAGTCTGCAGGCGTTCAATATAATCTGATCGTTGATTATGTCCGTAGCAGTTATTTAACTGCCTATTGGACTGGTTTGAAAGAAACACAACGGTGGCTAACAAGACTAACCTCTGAACTACCACTTAAGAAAAAATTCTCTTAAAATTTAAATGCTAACTCTTTCTTCAGCCACTCTCCTATGTGATTCCACAAAAATAAAATCTATTTGATATTAAAAACATCAACAGTGAGCCTGAAGAGGCAGATTAAATTATAAATTCAGGTGTTGAAAAATTATTTCTACTGTATAGGTTTTATAGTTAAAAGACTACTGTTATATAAAAAAACTTCGTATTTTAGAAAACCTAACAGTATAAGACAAGGCAAGTTACAGTAGATGTAAGATGAGGAAAACTTGATCCTTGGGATCACGTTTTGGCAAGTGGCAATTTAAAAACTACGCGGAACTCGTTATGCAGAGGCTGACACTGCCTTTTGGCTGGTCTGCACTGCTGCTTCGACCCATCCCTCGCTCACATAAACTTCAAGGTTTTTTACCTAAACCTTCAACACTGTCCTTAGGAAAATGTGTGGGTTTGACTTTATTTCAAATGATCCGATTTCACCTTTTCACCATCTCAGATCTTAGGCATTTGTCAAGCAGAAAGCACACGCACACGTGTGCACGTACGAAAGGAAGACGATCCAGCGTGGCTCCGATTAGACCCACCTCGTCCAGCAACGCTTGCGGGACTGGCCTTGGCCAGGATTGAGCTGATTAAACATCCATCTGAATAATGCTAATGGGAAGCTCAGCGAAGGAGTTCATAACGGTAGACAAAACAAGATTGATTTAATCAGCTATGTATTTCTCTGATTATAACAAACAAAGAAACGGGATTGTAGGACAATTCTGAGAGCTTGGTAAACTCCACCACTGCCTTGTAATGAAGCCTTGGCAAGAAGTAAGTGAAATACAAAGATTTTTTCATATTGAGGCTGTGTAAACAGTTTCCACTTTTAGAAATGTATCCTAGCAACTCACAGAAATGGTTTTAAGAGACAGCTGGACAAAAACATAATTTGGAATAAAACCAGATGTAACTGCAAACCCAGCTAGTCTGGTGATCCTGAACTGGTCTTGCAGCCACACATCAACTACGATTCAAGATGTTGAGAAAAGAAACACCAGGGCAAACAGATGTTTTAAAACTAACAGCTGCAGGAACAACTACAAAACACAGCATCAGAGTCGGCAGACATGATTCTGAATTTTGTATTCCTTTCTCACTATGTAGAAATTCTCTTTGGCTTCCAGTAGAAAGGCCTGCTGGACATGCACCTTGCGTTTTGTATTTACATGTTGTTAGACAGAGGTACAAGATGCATAAGTGAATTTTATTTATTGGGTGTCCGCTCAATTCCGTTGCAAATCAATTTTTTTTTATTTCATTTTTCCAGAGAAAACTGAAAGAAGTGACTTGTATAATAATGCACATACCTTGATTAAATATCTAATCCATAATTCAACAGAGAGATTCTGCTGACATCACCAGCAACAAAAAAGGTTCATAAAATGTATCATGAATACAAAAGGAGCCTAAACTATATTTCATGATTAGTATTCAGACTACAATTGCATAAGCATTATCGGCGACGGGCATAAACCATGCTTGTACATAACAGGTCACCTTATAAAAACCCCCAAGAAGCTGCAACATGAGAGAAGAGCATCCTGCTCCTGAGATGCAAACGGAGAATACCCCTCGGAACACACTCAATTTTACTGTGGAGGATTATTTTGTTTTCCAAGGATTGTTTACATGTAAACTACAGTACCTGGCATATACAGAATGATTAACTATCACGCTGTCGTTTGTAGCTTAGTTATCAATAAGAAAGTTTATTATACTGAACATCTAATGGGTACAAAGACTTTTTAAACTAGTATAGGTACATATAGCTTCCTCAAAATTTACATTTAACAGTTTGCCAGAGGATTTTTTTCCACAAGAAACTTTACTTCATTTTCAGTCTCCCATGGCATCCTGAATATCCAGAGAGAGGCTCAACTGATTCTTTGATTTTTCATTTCTCTGAAGGCCGAGTTTTAATAATTCTAGTATGAAGTTTGTCGAAAGATACATTACCAAACCAGTACCACAAACATCTAACATACTGCACATTTCGTTTTGCTTCAGTTGATAAATTACCATCTTTTAGGATACATTCTCTAGGTTGAACATACGGGGCCAAATACAGAAATCTGTACTTGAGTCATACCAAGGGCACCACGATGAAGGTCTAGCTTCATCAAATCCACCTTTCTAGTCACATAAAGTAAACTATGTCACTGAGAACACCTTTTACACCTCTCTATTAATAGCAACAGTTCACTGAAGGACAAGCCATCCTGGAAACGGCATTATCTCAAGCAGAACCTCCGTACCACAGCACCCATGACCAAGTACCAACCAAAATATAAATTACCCTCTGGAGATCCACTGACGTATGGATGGATGGATGTCGAGAGATGGATGCTGAGGCAATCAGCATCCTGTGCTGAACATGTCGGTGAACTTCTTCAAGTTTAGTGGGATGGAAAATCAGACAGCAATACCACCCTGAAACACTCTCTCAGGACCAAGGACTCCTGTGCCAGAAAGGACAACTTTGCAAATCAGTGGTTTCTCAAATATTTTTTTAATTCATTGACCTTGCCCAACTGCTTTTTGAACTTCAAGCATCTGGCACAAACCTACTGCCCAAACCCTCCTGTGGCAAGGGGTCCCACAGTTGAAGCACGCGGTGTAACAAGAACAAGTGTCCTCCCGCTCCCTCTGAACGCAGCTCCCATCATCTCTCACGTACCCCTCGCGGCTTTTTCTCAAAGAAACCATGAACACTTGCTTGCTCGGTTTTGTAGAACTAAACTTTCAGGTGTCTTCCTGAAGTGGAAATCAAGAAATGAGAGCCCACCACCACGCATATAAATTTATTACCATTTTTCCCTTGATGTGCATTGTTTTACATTATCAGCAATGAAATCGATCTGCTGTTTTGTTGCCCAGTTATGCAATACCATCATACCTTTCAATGCTTCACTGTTAACTTTCATTTGTACTGCTTTGGAGAGTATTTTACTGCTAACAAATGTCCCTGCCTCTCCATCTGCCCCCCTCCTGGCTTATGTTACTGGTTCAGGGTGATTGACATCAGTCCTCTGGCAGTGCAAATGAAGATCACCATTTTATTACCACTTCCCCTCTTCCCCAATTCATTTGTTACTTCTGAACGTCAACACTTTTGGACACACTTCTCAAGAAAAGGACAAAAAAAAAAGAAGATTAAGACTAAACTGAAATTCAAATGGAGAGCAGCACACCTAACGCTACATTTGGATTTATTTTACAAAACCCTTAAGTTCTTTTGTTCTAAATAGAGTTACTGACCTAGAAACATATACTCATCTCTGGAAATAAATCAAAATTCCTCCTACATTAATCTAATTGCACCAGTGGAAGCTAAGTAGTCCCTTAAGTAATTTAAGTTTCCTTATTTGAGGGGGAAAAATAAATCAGACCTTCCCCATCCCTGGGAGTGTGTTTTGTGGAACAAGCCAGTTATGATTAATTTCTCTGTTTGCAGTATTAAAGGCATTCTCCCTTAAAACAGGCATAGGTGTGAGCAGATAGTCTGTATTAGTAAGCACTGTATTAGCAAGTAAATGAAGTACTTCAAGGGACATCAAATAGTCTAGGTTTAGTTTTGGGTGGTTTTTTTTTTACTGTCACTGTCATAAAACTCCCCACAAAAATTGCCGATTTCTGAAATATAGTAAGACCAGACACTAGGAACCTTGTTTAGACATAGCTGTAATGGAAAAAGCGTTAACTTTAAATAATTAATGATCCTGCTGGGTTTCTTGCCTCCTACTCCTGCAATCATGAAGCTATTTTATAAAAGGGCAGTAGCACAATCATCAAAATAATCCCCCTTTCCCTGCGGTGACCGCATTTCAAAGAAAGGAGGAACCCTTGCTC